TGGCCACTACCATTCCTATTTAACATTTTAACTCAATAGCTATAAAATAAGAGTGAGAGAATTTTGGGGGGTAGAATTCCTTAAGACACACCCCAAAGTCTCCCCACCCCCTACCCCCATCTGCAATTAATTGAAAGCTACCACTGTTCTATTCAGGAAGGAAATAGAATGACACTGTTTATGTCCAGGCCATTATGTGAAGCTATTCTGTACCCAAGGGCCCTTTTCTCCTTGATAAGACCATCCTTTATTGCCTCTCAGAGCTAGGGTAGATCAGCTTTAAGTCTAAAAATAGTTTACATCCACCAGACACATTAACACAAGGTGAAAAATGTATCTGCCAAAAATAAACAGTGGAAAGAGTCTTCTCTAAATCCCTGGTTAATTTTTAATTAAAACACACCAAATAGAAAGATATGGGGTAGGGATTCTTAGCACTTGGGCTTTTATTGAGACTTTTTTTGGAGTAAGCCTTAAGGAAACTAGCCCATCAGATTTCTGTGTGAAAGGATCTTATGCATATTTAAACCCTTCAGAACAGCATTCCAAGTCCTCCACCAACTTGAGTTCCTTCCCTTCACCTCCCCATCTGCAACAACTTCCTCTTTCCTTGATTCTAACTGGTTTGTTATCTCTTGCATATGATCTTCTTGGCCCCACCTCTGTGTTTTTGGTGAAGACAAAATATCAAAATATAATACTGTTCTCCTCACTCTTTACTAATGAGTGCTCTTCACCATCACCAAAATTCAGATGAAAACTCATCTTCAGTAAAAGAAGCTTTCCATGATTGATACTCCTTAATAAATACCCTGGCAATTCCATAGTTCTTCCCTCTGTGGTTTTGTCTTGTGGGAGAAATGACTGTGCTTTGCAGTCTTTAAAGTGTCATGTAAATGTGAGCTCCAGGTATTATTGAATTTATCATCATCACCATCATCATCATCATCATCATCATTACTGATATCTTGGTTTCCTCATCTTTTTTTTTATTGAGTTCAGAAGCAAAGTCCCAGGACAAATCACTATTTTGCCATTATTCTTTTATTTTATTTTTTAAATTCTGCAGATTATTGCATAAGTAGTTAATGATAAGTGGGGTTTTTTTTGTAGTTGAATAAAAGTCCTGGGTTATAAACTTATCTTCTTTGGGCTCACTGAAAGAATCCTTGGAACAACTCCAGATATAGACAGGAAGACAATGGGAATATGGACCTTATCCTATTTTCACACAATTTTGATTTCTAGTAGAAGACATAGTAAATCTCTGTATTTTGAAAGTTTTTCATTAACCATAGCTTGGAAATGAATCCTGGGTATCATAACATCTGTTGAAATTGTTATTTCTAAGTTTTTTTTTTTATTCATCAGTGATATAGCTGGGTGATTAATGCTCCAGTTCTAGGATAGTTTAATGTTTGAATTCCTAAGGATACTTTGAAGTGTGTATTTGTAGTATGGAGATTTGTCATCTCTCAGTCCATGAAAGATAGTGAACTTTCAATGTATAACTCTAGCTGTCAGGTCACTGCTTGCCAGGTATTCTGTAGTTGTTAAGTTTTTGCAACCTGATGTGGTGTGTTTTGTAGTTTCTATCATTTTCTTGCATAACATTCTGCATTTATAATAATAAAATCTTGTTTTGTACATTCATGGGCTAGCTTTGTCTATGTGTTTAGGGGATAACAAATTGAAGTTGTGCTTTCACACAACAGAAAAACCAGTGTTGTTCTTCCTTCATTCTCAAAGAGGATAAATGACATCAGATAGTTGATGTCTTGACTTGTGAATGACTTGGATTTGAGTGAGGCAGAGCTGCACCAAGTCAACCTCACTCTCTCCTCCAGAGTCATCAAAGTCCAGTGGGAAGACAAAAGTCAAGATGACTGGTGATGGCTCAGGATGCTATGGGTGACCTTGGCTTTTCTAAAATAAGGTCTTTCCCAGGTCTCAATTTGTCCAGACAGTGCATTATGGCGTAAGGAAAGAAGAGCTGGTAATCTCCACGCCCTCCCCCAGCTGTGCATTGTGACTGCCTTTCAGGAAGACTGTGTGAAAACGGCTAGAACCTGGTTGTTAGTGTCCCCTCTACCCTTAGGCAACATATACCTGCAGTGTAAATTGTGATCAGTGTATTAATCAGATATGAATTATGATGAAAGGCAGAACTGCTTTGGAGTTAGGAACACTGAGGTCCTGCCTCTGCCCATAGAAAAACCTGTGAATAAGGCATCTCAGTGTGGAGTGGAATGTGGAATTCCTTTTCTCTGGACAGAACACCCCTGGTCTAACAGATTAGAGTCAGTGATGCTATGTTGGTGGCAAGACTGCCTTTCTGCACTGTTTATAGCTTGAGATTAGGCTTGTTTTAAGATGACTCTTTCCTGTCATACTCCTTTCTCTGATAGCAATCATTAAGAGATTAGGTTTCTTGAAATATCAGCATTCATTGGCCCCCTGGCTGAATCAAAGCACATAGTCTATAGAAGAATGGATGCTTGAATAGACTTTCCTCATGGAAGAAATGCTGAGTTCTAAAGATGAACATTCATAGAGTAAAGCTATCTTTCACCTACTGAGAACTGACAGATGCTTTTGATTTTTTTAAATATTGTGGTCAAGGGCATTTGCAGGTGAGTATATAAATAGAGGTCTATGCCACTAGGTACTTCTGTACTTTGTGTCTAACTCTTCTTAGTAACCATTAAGCAGTAGGGTCTGTGCAGCCAATTCATTTGAAGATCTCAACTTTCTTTAGCAAAATTGGAGATTTTAATTTGGAGGATGGTACTAGGATTGCACGGTTCTTAGGAGACATTTTTGTGGCATCCTTATCACTAGCACTCAGGTGCTATTGGTACATCAATAGCTTTTTGTAGTTTAGTTGTTGTGATGCTAACCTTGAGGAAAAGGGGAACATGTGATTCTGAATATGATGATTAATTCTCTGGGAGAATGGGTGGAATGAAAGGAGCAAATCTGCAGTCTAGGGTAAGAAATGTACATCAATCATTCAATCAGTTAGCATTTTTAAGTACCTCTTATGTTCTAGAGACTCTGTTAGGCCCTGGAGATACAAGGAGAACAAATAAAACAATTCCTACTCTCAAGGAGTTTACCTTCTATCAGGGGAAGCAATATATACATACACGCACACACACATATACATATGTGCACACATACATATATGTTTGTGTATTCAGAATAAATATATACAGAGTTAATAGAAATTCTTCAAAAACTAGATAGGGAGGGAGGGAGGGCACTAGTAGTTGGGAGCAAGTAGTAAAAAGACGTTATGTGGAAGTTAGTCCTTGACATGAGTCTTTAAAAAAATGAAGAATCCAGTGAACTACAGGTGAGGAGGGAATATATTCGTAGAATGGAGGATGGCTAGTGCAAAGATTTCTTTGGAAATGAGAAACAACCTGGCATAAGTAAGGAACAGAGATAAGAACAGTTTGGCTGGAACATAGAGTACAGGAAGGAAAGTAATGTGCTGGAAAGATAGTCTAAGACCATGTTGTAAATTTATATTTTATTCTAGAGGCAATAGGGAAGAATTGTAGTTTATTGAGTAGGAGAATAGTGTGGTCAGATCTGTACTTAAGAAAAATAACTTTAGGAACTCTATATGGAGGTTGGATTGAAATGGGGAGAGATTTGAGGCAGGGAGGCCAGTTATGAGGTCATTGCAACATTTCAGTCAGTAAGGCTTTCAACTAACATGTTTCTATATGAGTAGAGAAAAGGGGTCAGATGCAAGAGATTTTGTGTAGATAGAATTGGCAAGATATGGCAACATTGTATATGTTGGGTGAGAGAGAGTGAAGTGTTGCGGATTATACCAAGTTTGTAAACCAGGGAAACTGAAAGAAATAATAGAAAATTTTAATAGAAACAAGAACATTTGGTAGACTGGTGAGTTTTTGGGGAAAGATAACCAGTTTTGGTTTGGATATATTGAATTTGAGATGTCGCTAGGACATGATTTGAAATGTCCAACTGGTATTTATCTAGTACTACAGAACTGGAGCTCAGGAGACAGATTGGAGCTGACTCCATGGATCTCAGTCATTAGCATTTAGTTGATAATTAAACACATAGGACTTCATGAGCTAATGAAGATGTAGAGTATATAGAAAGAAGATTCCTCAGAATAGATACAAAAGTAGGAGAAATGATATAGTTAATGGGACAGCAAAAGAGACTGAGAAGAAAACATCAGGTAGGCAAGAGGACAACCAGGAGTGTCATGAAAACCCAGAGAGGAAAAGATATCTAGGAACAGGAGGTGGTCATCAGTGTCAAATGCAGCAGAGAGCTCAAGGAGTTGAAGACAAAGGGATGACCTTCAGATCTGGCAATAAAGAAGATCATGGATAACTGGAGAGGGGTGTTTCAGTTGAGTGAAGAGGTTGAAAGCCAGATTGCAAAGGCTTTAGGAGTGGGGAGAAAAGAAATAGGGGTAGTAAATGTAGACAGCTTTTTTGACGCTTGGCTGAGAATAAGAGAAGAAATATTGGACGATAGCTTGACGGGATGTTAGTGCCTAATGAAGGTTTTTTGTTTATTTTTTTAAAGGATGTCAAGACTTCTGTACATTTGAAAGCAGTATGAAAGCCACCATAGCGAGGGAGGGCTTAAAGATTAGAGAAAGAGGGATTAATTGAGGTAGCAATATGCTATAGAAGACAGGAAAATCAAGGGCACATGTAGATGAGTTGGCCTTGGCCAGTTGTAATGACACCTACAGTGGGAAACGATGTCAAGAATTTTTGAGATGAAGAGAAGAAGACAAGTAAATGGCCTCAGTTTTTCAGTAAAGTATCAGGTGAGTTCCTTAACTAAGAGGGTTGGGGGAGGGGGAAGTGTGGGTGGCTTGAAAAGAAAAGGCTTGGAATAACTCCTGTGAGGAGTAGGATAGCAAATGGGGGGAAACACCATATATCTTTTATTTATAGTATCTTTTTATATAATATTTTATTTTTTATTCATAGTATCTTGAAGTGGACAAATACTGAAGGGGTGGAAATTGGAATTAGCCTGGACTAGCTGAGGTAAAGTTTCTGTGTGAAAATAAAAACTTCTATTAGAATTCATTGTAAAATTGAGTTTGTTTTGTCCCATAGTAACAAAATGGTATACATACCTAAGGCATCATTTCTTCTTAACTATCTTCTTATCCTCCCCCTATTTTTCATCCTTCTTCCTTTGTTTTCTCCTATCTCTCCTCCCTTTCTCTTTTCTCCTTCCCCCATCTCTTTTAAAGAATTCAGGCTAGGAATATTGCAGGAGCCTATAAAGGAAGATGGTAAAGCTGATCACATTCTTTGCCAGTGAACTTTGCTATTGGACAGCAGAATATGCACAAAGAATGGTGAACAGAAGCTTTTTATCACACTTTGGTTTTGATATTAATGTAACACCTTCAGATTAATTTGCCCAAGTTATCATCAAATCTCAGCATTGTAGGAACTCTTAGAGTATTTAGGCGTAATGTAGCTCCAACAATTTTGTGTCATCTTCCGAATTAAATGAACGGTGAATTTGACTGTTCATATATAGTAGGTCCGTAATAAATTGTCGTTGAAAGGATGGATTGCTTGCTAGTAGCAAGCACCCTATAAAGTTTGGTTGAAAAGGATGGGTAAGAAAAGGGCCCAGCAACTGCCCATCTCGGAATGGAAAGGGAATGTGGGGAAATGCCTTAGAATGAAATGCCCTACAAATGAAAGAGAATGCCACTCCTAGTTTTCACCAGAAAAGTTAATACTTGTTTATCTTTAATGGTTTAAAATAAAGAGGCCTTCTGCGTACCTGTGGGTGTTTCTCACAAACAAATAGGCCCCCAGGCACTCTGCTTGAATCATAATCTGATATCTCTGCCTTGAGGATTACACCTATCTTGGGAGCTGCCATTATGAAAATAAGCAGTTCTCTGCCACATAATCATTATACCCTAACTCAGTCTATCAGGCTAATGTATATCTTCATAACCCATGCAAGTGAAACAGGGTCATAAATAGGTAGAAGTATGTAATATGGGAAAGTGTAGTTGCCTCTCCCTGAAATTTAAACAGAGTAAATAAATACCATACCCGGAGGGTAAAATTGATACTTAGTCGTGGTCATTAAATCTTTTCATTTTCTTGAAGTACCTTGGTAGACATGGGAAGAAGGGTCTCTGGGTGTAAATGGGGAACCCCTTTCTTAGTCTGAGTCTTTCTGCTTCAGTCTTTCTATATGTCAAAAGCAAAACAAAACTAAAATTCATTCCCAGACACTATCATACTGTAAAGTTCTCTGAGAACCTTGTGGATTTTTTTTAATGCCTTTGTGATTGTGATAATTCAGAGGCGGTGGAAGAAGGATGTCTCATAAGTAAATATTAATACCCACACCAAGGATTTAGCTATTTGTAAAGCAAAATGCACTTCTTGATCTTTTTAAATGAGCCTGCCCAGGTTTAGTTTTATAAATCACGTTTCAATACTGTGATTCTCTTCACCTCTCAGCGTCTGTTAGATCACTTATTTTTTTTTGTGTGGAGGAGATTGCTGGCTAAAATAGTTGGTCAGGATGTTGTTGCTGTAGTTCAAGAGAAATATCAGCAGCCGGATCTTTGAAGTGTCATGTCTAAGAGTTTACGTTTATTTTTATTCAGTGCTAACATTGATACCCCTGCATCATGGAGAGCAGATGGAATGAGGCCATGGGGTTGTAGGGTGTGAAAAAGGTCTAGTCAGTATTTGACCTGATAAGGTAGCTGCCATTCTCCTAGAAGAGAAGGACTCTAGAGGTCACATGGTCCAATTTTTTACATAAGCTTTTGGTGTTCTCTTTATCAGATGGCTGTCTAGCCTCTACTTGCATATCTCCAGTGACGGTATGCTCACCGCCTTAGGAGATGACCACTTCCATTGTTGGAAACCTCCAATTACCAGTAAGTTCTTTGTAAGTTAGAGTTTTCTAACCTTATATAGATTTTGGTGGCCTTTTTCTTTTTCTTGGCCCCATCATTCTCATGGACATTTGCTCCCCAAAGCAATATCTATCCATCCATCCATCTATCTATCATCTATCTATCTATCTATCTATCTATCTATCTATCTATCTATCTATCTATCTATCTATCTACCTGCACATATCTTCCTCCTACTTAGATAATACCACAAGGATGGGCAACTATGGTAAAAACCTAGGACAGCATATGCACCTGGAAGAATACTACTCACATGGCATTGCAAGGTGAGCACTTTTTGTATGGGCTGATAGTTTCTGGTTTTCTCTATTTCATGTCGATAATTCTGTGTAGGTGTTCCATTTCCCCTTTAGCTTGTGTGTCTCTGGAAACAGTCAGCTTTTGGGATTCAGGGGTAGGCACTACATAATCATCATTGGCTATAGAGCTGAATTTTGATAGCTCTTCTGGAAGCTGTGGCAGCATCTGGGTGTCTTTTCAGATCACAGACCTGATTTACTAATTTTTTTAACACAATTCATATTACCTCTGTAGGATATTCCTATGAAGGCAAGGCACAGTCAGTCATCTGAGGGAACACCCAGTGATAGGCCTAACCAATAAAGTTCAGGTTCGAGTTGGGGTGGGGGAGAGAATGCCAAAGTGGAATTCCCTTTTGGACTGAATTGAATATTTGAATGAGAAAAGCACCACAACAATAGAATGCATATGATAAAAGTGAATACATGTGATTTAGAGTTGAGAATATCTATCTGTCCAGGACAGAAAGGGGAAAGAACCACAACTAAAAGTACCTTCAAGATAACTCTCTCTCTCTCACACACACACCTCCTTCTCTTTCTATTTTAGTGCCTTCCATAGAAATGAAGTCAACCCAGATAATTTTGATCATTTCAAATCATGGTAAGAAGTCAAATGTATAGCTAACATAAGCTTTTGGATTATCTTTGGATGTCAGCAACCTCCTGCCTCAGTTAGTTGAATAATTAAGATTTGGTTTGCTCTTTCAGGATTTAAGCACCATCTGGAAGTTGACCACCAATTGAGAATGCGGCATCTTGAACTTGAATTTCATAACCCTGAAAACAATTAAATTTTATAGGGAAAAGGAGGGGATGAGGATGGGAGGAGCAATTTGAGATTTAGAAGAGAAACGGGCACTTGAAGTTCTCTCCAACATCATCGGTATCTTTCAGATGAATCTTTGGTAGGGTCAAGGAATTATTTTCATTGGCGTTCTGACTTACCTGGTAAATTAGGCAGACATGTCTGTGCAAAGTAAAGGTGTTAAGTGAAGAGGATTGGGTCACCTTGAGCTGGATTGTAATTAAAAACAGAACAAACAAACAAAAAACTCTTTTCATCATGTTGAAAACTTTTGCCTTACCAAAGGGAATGAAGTCCCTGAAGCAGAGCAAAACCATCTGTAAAATGAGAGGATTGCACTACATGGCCTCTAAAGTTCCTTCAGATTCTGTGATCTTGGTAGTGCAGATAAAAATATCTGGTGAACAAATACCATAGTGACATTTTCTGAATAAAAATACTCAATAATATCCTTGCTAAAGCCTGATTTATATACTCTGTATGTGGGTTTCAAATTAGAAGCATTGGTGTACCTCTGTGGCATTTGGCCAGTAACATTAAAATCATTTTAAATGTCATTAGCTATAGAGTATTGGCTACTCAAGCCTATAATGGATATTTTGAACTGAAACATAAAAGCACATATCATAATTAAAATATAGAACAGCATCTGAAAGTGCCTAAGGTTAGTGGTTGCTACGTCTATATTATGAGTAAACAAAGTATTAGTCAAAATTACTTTCAGAGGCCTTAATTATATCTGTTTTAATTTAATCTGCTTTAATGATACTTTTTATATGAATTTACTCCATGGTTAATCTACTGATTGCAATTTCCTTTCATTAGAAAGAATGTAGTAGGGGTGGGATAATTGGAAACTTCCTTATAGGAGCTTAGTTTGGTGGCCTTGGGTAGCCATGTTGTTCAGAATTCTTTACCAGGTTTTATATTTCACATTTGAACACATAGTAGCCAGGGTAAAAGAGAGAAGAAAAATCCTTAAGTGTTTTGGAAACAACTTTCAAGGAATAAAATTTTAAAACAATAATCTAAATTTGATATATTTCGACGACTGATTTTTAGAATTTGGTTTTGTAGGTAGAAAAGAACTTAGGACATAGATATATAAAATATGCAAGTATGGTAAGAGATGTCAAGAGACAATATATTTAAAATAGAGGAGATAAAATGAGCAATTTTGAAAGGACAAATGGCAAAGGCATTATTATAATCTATTCTTTTTTTTGTTTTGTTTTTATATTTTTTTAAATTTTTTTTCCCATATGCTTTTGAGTTGAAAATGTTTTCTCCCTTTTTCTCCCCTCCCCACCCTCCCCAAGACGGCACGCAATCTGACATAGGCTTTACATTTACATACCCATTAAACATATTTTCACATTAGTGAAGTTGTAAGTAAAAATTAAAACCAATAGGAGGAACCATCAGAAAGATGAAACAAAATTCAACTTAAGGTAAAAATAAGTGAGAGCGATTCGACTTCCATAGTTCTTTCTTTGGATGTGGACAGCATTTTCCATCCCGAGGCCTCTGGAGATGTCTTAGATCCTCGTAATGCTGAGAAGGGTTCAATTTAACATTCTTAGTCATTGCATAACATGGCTGCTATTGTATACAAAGTCCTCTGGGTTCTGCTCACTTCACTCAGCATCAGACCATATAAGTCTTCCCAGGTTTTTCTGAAGTCAACCTGTTCATCATTTCTTATAGCACAATAGTATTCCATTACATTCATATACCACAACTTGCTCAGCCATTCCCCAATTGATGGGCATCCTCTCAATTTCCAATTCTTTGCCACCACAAAAAGAGCTGCTATGAATATTTTTGTACATGTGGGTCCTTTTCCCATTTGTTTGATCTCTTTGGGATATAGCCCTAGAAGTGCTATTGCTGGATCAAAGGGTATGCACATTTTTGTAGCCCTTTGGGCATAGTTCCAAATTGTTCTCCAAAATGGTTGGATCATATAATCTATTCTTAAAAGACAAATAAGAATAATAAATATCACAACAAACCCGATAGGGACACATAAGGGGAAAAAAACAGAAATGCAACCCCTAAATATAGAGATAAAATAATATTCAGATTAACTGACAAGGAAATTGAGTTCTAGGGACCCCCTCAGTCATATGCCCTCCAAATGATCCTCTCTATTCTTCGCCTTAGGAACTCCAAGAAATGGGAATCCATTACCTCATGAGGTTGCCCAATCTACTTTTGGATGGAGGGCTTTGTTAGAAAGTTTTTCCTTGCATCAAGCGTGCTAGTGCTAGTACACACACACACACACACACACACACACACTTTAAAAATAGGTAATTTATATATATATATACAGATATTTAATCATATTTATATATACATATAATATATGTATATGATATATTGCATGATATATAGATACACACACACACACACACACATATATTTAAATGTCCTTCTTGTCCTTTCCAATTGTACAATACGGAATAAAGGAAGGTAGGTTCTATTTGGAGAAGGGAAAAAGTTTTAGAGACTGAAGTGGTTCAATGGATTTGATCCTGTTTAGTGTGATCTCAGCTAAGTCCTCATCTAGAACTGGAAATGACTAGATGGAGGGTACTGCCTGGTACCTTTTCCCTTCTGCAGTCTCCATGATATTTGCTGGAGGAGTAGAGCTTACAGACTCTCTCTAATATTTCCAAAATCACTAGAAACTATTTGGCCCTGATTCCTGGGGGCTATGTTTTTATTTCTCACTCTTACTCTAGAATGTGAGTAGCAGTGAACAGGTAGATATTATCTAAACATCCACACACTGATCACATCATAGAATCACAGAATTTCAGTGTTAGACAGGACCTTAGCAGCTGTCTGGTCCACTCCATGACTAAAGGGAATGCTGTACTATAAGATACTTGACAAGTAGCCTTTTGGCTTCTTCTCAATGGCCTCTAATGAAGAGGAACCTACTACTTTCTGAGATGGTTTATTCTTTTAGATAGCTATAATAATAATAATAATAATAATAATAATAATAATAATAATAATAATAATAGTTAGCATTTATATAGCACTTTAAGATTTGCAAAGTGCTTCACAAATACTATGTCATTTTTTTCTCACAATAACCCAGAGAGGTAGCTTCAGTCATTTTGGTCATGTCCGACTCTTTATTTTTGGGGCTTTCTTGCCAAAGATACTGGGATGGCTTGCCACTTCCTTCTCCAGATCATTTTATAGCTGAGGAAACTGAGGCAAGCAAGGTTAAGTGACTTACCCAGGGTCACATAGCTAGTAAGTATCTGAGGCCAAATATGAACTAAGGAAAATGAGTCTTCCTGGCTTCAGGCCCGAGTATGCTATCCACTGCACCACTGAACTACCTAGGTACTATTATTATCCTCATTTTACAGATGGATACTGAGGCAGACAGAGGGTCAGTGATTTGCCCATGGTAGTAAGTTTCTAAAGCTCAATTTGAATTCAGACATTCCTAACTGCCAGTCAGTTACTCTGTCTACTGCTCTATCTAGCTGCCTCTGCTCATTAAGAAGTCTTTCCCTGAAATCAAGTCAAAATTTGCCTCTTTCCAAATTCTTGCTTTTTCTCTGGATTCTACCCTCTGGGGTCAAACAGAGCAATTCTCCCTCTTCCACCCAGTACCTCTTCAAATGCTAAAGGAGAGTTATCTTGTTCTCCTTGAGTCTTGTCAAGGCTAAACGTCTCCAGTTCCTTCAACAATTTTTCCTGTGAAATTAAGCTCAAGACCATTCTGGTTACCCTCATATAAATACTCTCTAGCTTTTTAGTTTCCTTTTAAAATTATCTATACATAAAATATGAATATGTTTACAGTACCAAGAATTAAACTGATTTTTATTGCCTATCTATAATGGCCCATGGTAATTATGAGCAGGCTACAACACATTACAGAGGTGGAATTATACAGTCTAAAGGATGTCATCAGAGAAATGTATGACTGGAGACCCCACCCCCACATCTAAGTCAGTAACTTAGAGCAAGAGCAAACCAATACACAGCCTACACACTACGTTGGTACCCATGAAATGTCAAGAAAACTTGAGAAAATCTCCCAGATTATTGGAGGGACCCTTGTAACAGATTATGGGAAGATATGGATAAGAATCATATAGGGAGCAGGCATGGTTCATTTGTTTAGATGCATTGTAGAGGGAATGTACACAGTGATGAAGTCACACATCCTTTGGATTATTGTAGATTATTTAAAATTGATTTTTTGCATGTGTTGCCATCTTTCCTACAAATCTTTCATTGTCATTATGGAGCAGAAGAAGACTTTGTAGGACAGAAGGTCATTTCACATTTTTAAAAAATTTTTTGAGCTGTTACGGTTGAAAAAAAAGTCACCAAATTGCCAAGTATTGGCGAATGAACCTCTTCTTACTTAATTGGGTTGGTCTTCAATTAGCAGACTAAGTCTTTTGTTGAATTGTAATTTAATTCTTTCCAAACTGGTAGAAGCTTCCTGCGTTTGCACCCCAGCGGCTTCATCTTTGGTAACACACTTTGATGAGCCATTGGACTTTTGTAGAAAACAATGAGATGGGTCCAGAATGAGAGGCAGCTAGTGGCACAGTGGATTGAGTGCTAGGCTTGGAGTCAGGAAGGCATAAGTTCAACTCCAACCTCAGATACTTGCTAGCTATGTCACCTCAAAAAAGTCACTTAACTTCTGTTTTCCTTAAGCATAAAATGGCGGTAATGACAGCATTTATCTTATTGAGTTGTTGTGAGGATCAAATGAGATAATATTTATAAAAAGTGCTTAGCACAGTGCCTGACATACAGGTATTTAATCAATGGTTATTCCTTTTCTTTCCCTAAAATTAAGTAGGAACAACTGGATTGAGTTTGGAGAATTACACAACACTTTCAGCAATCCTAAGCAGCTTTTTGACACAAAAGTCTATCTTAACCCTGATATTCTCCTGATGCTCCATCTCTGTGAATTGTGGAACACTATGATCTCTGAAAAATAAAAATTGTGAGTGAGCCAAAGGGCAAAGGAGAGAATCCTTACAGTGAGTGTAAAAAGGCTTCAGTTTATTATTAATAATGACTTGTGCTTAAGAAGCGCAGTAAAGGATATTATTCAGGAAACGTGTGATTAGAAAAGAAGGAAGGCTGGTCATAGAGCAAGAGCAAGAGCAAGGGATGAAAGATAGACAGCCCAAATGCTGCATTGGCACCAGCGCAATGTTAAAAATTCTACAGGAAGGAAGACCTAAAACATATTGGTAGGATCCTCAATGGATGACTTATGGAAGGACATAGAATAGAGTCATAAAGCTGTTAATTTGCACAGCAGGATGAAGTACCTAAATCATTGAGACACGGGGTTATTGGATTCTCTCTCTCTCTCCCTCTCTCTCCCTCTCTCTCTCTCTCTCTCTCTCTCTCTCTCTCTCTCTCTCTCTCTCTCTCT